TTTTGCATTAGGCATTTCTGTATATTTAGGATCATGCATGATTTCTAATGTAGTTTTTGTTTTGGCTTGGAGTACTCGGTAAGTTTTTATGCTTTAGCATCCTTGCATGCGTGTGAGTGACTGCCATGAATAGCATGCTTACCATGAGGCTAAATGCTTATGTGATATAACTGCCTGAATGCTTGTGGGTGAAGGTTGGGTTAGTTGGATTGGGACAATTCATCAAATGTTTGTTTTAAGCCCACTAGATAGTGGCAAAACCATTTTTACTAAGCCCACTCGAGGGTGGCAAAATCTGTATTTTTTAGCCTACTTGCGAGTAGCAAACCACCTTTCAAATAAGCAAACATGACATGTTTTGTTCCAATCCAGGCGACTTGGTCTATATTTATATGCTGCGCGCATCACATAGTAACCTAGGCTAATAACCGGAATAAGAACATACAATATTTTCAAAAGCAAATATCATGGTTAGTAGAGGCCGGTCTCTGACCGGGCGAGAGGGGGTGCTCACGAAGTGACCTTCCCCAATCGTACCCAAGTTCCCGAGCCGAGGCAACTTTGGTGATGACGGACACGTGGCCTTTGGCACCGAGTCAGGGTTTTCTAAATTTCCCAAAATAAAATATTTAGGTGGCGACTCTGTATCTGGCAAAGCAGTCCATGTTTGGCACTTCTTTCAAAAATCTGTTTTTCTCAAAATGATTTGCCGGATTTGGACTCTTTGGTTTAGATTAAGAACCGTAACACAAATCGAGTCCGAACTGTAGCACGGGAGCCCACGGGCGCGTCTACACTTTGCAATTCAATATGAGAATGAATTATTCTCAGAGTACAATACATGATTTGCTTGGACTAGCAAATTTTTAGATATTAATAATACCAATGTTTTTGTACACAAAAAAAAAAAAAAACTAGATTTTAGTATGCCTCTTGCTTGTTGGATGCATATGGTTTACTTTATAAATTGCTTAAAGCATTAAACATAAATGGAGAGAAGTTATTGGAAATATAATGGAGGTTGCAAAAGTGTATAGAAAAGAATGACTATTGACTACTGCTTTCCAATTGGCCGTTTTTGCACTAATTGCTATTTCATCAATCTTACTAATTAATGTGCCCGTTGTATTTGTTTAGAGTTATTTTGTTTGGGTGAATAATTTGCTTAGAGTTATTATTTGAATCCTAAGATAGAAGCATCCAATCATGAAAACATCGAAAACAATAAAGTTTTTATAACTGATTGTATTTTGTTCTGATTGTAATTGTTGCTTTATTCTTGCCATCACTACGCAATTGCGTATTATTTTTTTAATCTTATTATTTTATTAATCATCTTTGTTGAAATTAGCTGCTACTGCTTCTTCTTCTTTTTATTATTTTTTATTTTTATAAGTAATGATGAAATGGGTATCTGTTGTGGTGGATGATTGGTGTTTGTTGTAATGCCTCTTAAAAAAATTATTTTCAGTTATTTGACAATTTGTGATGACAAAGGTTTGAATTATGGAGAAAGCTATATCAATGGTACTATGATGTATGCATATTATATATATCTATATATATTGGCAATAAAAGAAAAAATGGTTTATTAAGCTTTTATGAGATAACTGATAGTGAGGGTCTTGGTTAGTAATAACAGGGTAAAATTTATGTCCAGTGCTTTGACATAGTGTGAGATTGAAACATAAATTGTCCCAATCTACTAGATCAAATCTATAATTTAAACATTTTTTTTACTAATATAGTTTCAATTGATATTCATGTTTTTGTTTGCTTCTGTTGATCAATGAAAAAGATCCAAGCATATGAAGCTAATATCAAGTTATCCTCTGCCAACCTACCATACTGCCACAGCTATAGGGTAATGTAAAAACAGATGATCAATGCTTTCCTCATTCATCTTAATGCATAATGCTAATTGCGAAGAGATCCATTTGAAGAACATGGTGCCTAATTGAAGTAGCAAGCCTCTAACAATGGATGGCTGATACTTTAACTGAGATAATGAAAAATCATTTCAACTTGTTAGTTGGAAGTTTAGACGGTTCTTGAAAAAAGATAGTGAAAAAAATAAATAAATATCCCAAGAGTCAAGACAAAGAGATAAACCAAAATTTTCCCTCTCTTTGGCATTTCTTCTTTTAGATTGATACATCTGTCCACTTCAATGTGTTATACAATGTTGATTAGATTTTTTAGATTGTCTTTTTTATTCTTGAAATTTTATAATAGCAACGTGATGATAATCAAACTTTACTATTTTAAGTCTTGAAATTTATTCAAATAAAATCTTATTATAAAAAAAAATGATAGCATTCCGCTGTCTAAAAAATATTCAGAAGTTACTGTAGTTCATTATTATTTTTTTTAAAAATGTTTGGCTTGTATGATAGGAGTGCGAGTTCATTATTTATTTATTTTTGATGGTGTGTTGTTTAAGACAACTTCATTGAATGCACAAATAGGATGAAGCAATACTAATTCAATCTGATTGACTACATAGTATCAAAGGCAAACTCTTATTATTTTTCCATTTTAGTTCCATTTGAATATCAATACTAATTCCATCCTTGATCATCATGTTCAAATCCTTTCAGGTTATATCCATATCTATTTATCCTAAAATGAGCTACTTGATTGATATCTTAGAATTGAGTTTGTATTTTGTAATATTGTTAATATATAATTGGACAAGATTTTTTTCTCCTCGTTCATGGATTCACACAGCAAGCATCATGTGTTCATGTAGTTCCCATCTTTTCCAAAAATAATGGTGGTCTCATTATTTTTTGAATGTAGTGGGTCCTACATGTGCACATGGTGTTTGATTCTGTGCATTGACTTGGTTCTGCTCTTAGGTTCAATGCCTGTTTGTTACTGACTATATAGTAAGATCATTTTTTTTCCCCTGTGAAATATGGCATAAAATTGGAGTAATGAAGCCATACAATTTGCATACTGGCATCATACTTGTCATTGATCATCCCTTTTTCTTGACATATATGTTCTTAGGATTAATATTTTTTTGCATCTACAAGGATATGGCAAAAGGTCACAATTAAATAAAGATCTTTAAGAAAAACAAAATTGAGAAAATATTTCCTTGTTAATTAAGTCGAGTTACTAGCTTTGAGTGTAGTGAGTACTTGCTGGGCTTAGCTTGAATAAAGGTTGCCTTCCATTTTGTTTGTGATAGTATTAACTCATGCTTGGCATCTTTGATGCTTAACATATCAAATATCATTTTTTTGCAAGTGGGGTTGTATATCTAGTCTGAGTGGGGTCGGTCGGCTCTCTAGTGCGTTCGGTGCTCTAGCAAGCCCAAGCACTCGGTGAATGAGTCAAAATATGAAGAGTCTAAGGTATAGACTGAGGCAAGCTCATCTACTCAACCATAGTCTGCTCAACAACAAGCACCGTGGCTTGGCACCCTCGAGTCCCAATTCACCCAAATGAGCCCTTGTTCGACCATGGACCATCATACCTCCTTTCCATAGGGTATGCCAAGGAGCGACCAGGAGCATCGCTCGACCAACATGCAACTCCTTAATTGATCTTAGAGATAGAGGGTCATTGATCCAATACTTGACACATTGAGAGATATCGTAGCTACCATCTATGTAACTACGTTATGCCATGATACACCCTCCGAAGTATGATACCTAACTTTGTAGCACTCATGATAAAACCTCTAAGGCCTGAATCATGTGAAGATAGGCCTGATACCTCTACTCTGTCCAGCCAAGGAGAGCCAGGCACCTGTCCATTAGTGAGCTTGTTGGTTACGAAAACTATGCAGAAGAGTATAAATTTTAAAATTCAGATCTTAACTCGTGTTAATAATGTTCTAGATGGTGAATAGGTAGAATTGTACCTTTGTAGCTCTTCTTGCAAGCCAAACTATGAAATAATGATAAAGATAAATTTTAGACTCTTCACCTAATCTCATAAGGATAAGAGTTATATATAATTGTGCCTATAGGTTTAGCATCTTTCATATTAAACATTTCAAGCATCCATTCAATATACTTCACTCGTGACAACCACAACTGCTTAGCTTTCCTGTCACAAATTATTTATATTCCTAATAGTTTACGTGCATCTCCTAACTCTTACAGGTCAATTGTCTTGGATAATTCCTATTTCAGCTTGTTAATCATCTTCACATCATGTCCCGCTATTAAATGCCATCAACATAGAGTAGAAGGATTATGAAGTTGAATAAAATTCATATTGAGAAAATCACTTGATATGATGACTAAAGTTGTCCCTAAAGAGAAGTTTTTGTTCTGCACAAAGTGGCTGGTATGAGCTTTAGTTACAATGTTACGTGGTGGTTTTCTCTCTATGGACTAGAGGGGGTGATTGTTGTGGGTCTAGCCCAGAATGGTACTAATTGCATTGGATAGAGAGTACAGCAATTTGTCGGATAATAGCTTTGGAAAGATGTGTATAATGACTTCTTTCGAAAACTATTATCTGGCCATCATGCAATGTAATTATTACTATTATGTGCTGGAACCACAAGTAGTGCATATTAAAATGATATGTTTTCAATTTCACACTTCTGTTATAGTTGAGTCATTTTACTCATATTGTTAACAAATTTTGCAGCTCCAATCTAAAGCCATTGGTATTGGACCAAGATATCGTGAAAAAGATATGGACAACATGGCCCAGATATTCAGGCATGAAGAATTGCTAGAAACATGGTATACTCAGTTTTTTGAGAGGTATAAAGCTACTAAACCATATAGGTTATCATTTGGGGATCGGGAAACAGACAAGCGTACACCTGAGCTGATGTCTACTTATCTTAAAACCCTCAAGAAGCATAAGAGAAGACGAGTAGCATTTAAGGAAGATGAAACTAATGGTTTTGGCAATCCCATGTTAGAAAATGGATCAAACATGCTCCGAAATTCGGTTTTAAATGACAATGATGCAATTGTTGATGATACATATTTCTTCCCTGAAACGATGTTTCCATTTAATTGTGTCCCTGATAGTGCTCTTCCTCACATAAACCGAGTGGAAGAAAACCACAAAGTGGATTTTAATGGTGTTCTTGATATGCTGCCCCAAATTATGACCAGGAGCCCTATTATGATTGAGAGGCTTGGTATTAGACCAGAATACCTGAGCATGGAACAAGGAGGGAATCAATGTCGTGGAAAAAATGGATCTCATAGAAACAGGAAACTTCTCAGTCAAGAGCAAGCATCAGAGATGTCTAGAAAAGTGATAGCTCGTGTGCTAACAAATGTGGGGTTTGAAGCTTCTTCAAAAGTCCCAATGGAAGTCTTGTCTCAGTTGCTGAGTTATCATATTGGTAAGCTAGGCCGTATCTTGAAAGTCCTTTCTGATAGTTACAGAAAACAGTGCTCAGCCATCGAACTACTCAAGATGTTCCTTCAAATAGCGGGGTATAGGTGAGTGAAGCTGTTTTTATGTTATAAGCTTGAATTTGAATGGTTTTTTTTTATTTACGTTTGTTTAGTAGACTATTGGCTTTGAATTTCTGATAAAGTAGAAATGAACTTTAGATGCTTGGCTTGCTACTCTTCATCTCGACAAAATGGTTGGGTTCCAATTTCTTTATTTCGTTTATGCATTAATTAATTTTATATATTTATCATGCTTCTCTGATAAATTTTTCAATTCTGTTTCTTTATTAGGTTCCTTACATCACTACTGCTTTGATGGATGCGAAGCTTGGCACGGAAGGGCGCAAGGATCTTTTTGATTGGCTATCAAGGCAACTTAGTGGATTAAGCAATTTTCCTGATGTTATAAATCTGAATTATGTATTGTTTCAATTTATTATGCTAGATAGATGTGACTTGTGAATGAAAACTTAGAATAGTTGTATTGTGTCGAATGTTAATGAATTATGTATTGTGTTGAATGTTAATGATTCAGTTAATTTGAATGATGTTTTAAAATTATAGGTTTATTATGGATTGAATGAGTAATTAGGAATTACAGGTGTATTGTTTTCTTGCTTTGGCGACCAATTTATTAGTTGCAACAAATAAATAATTTTTTTTCGCAAAAAATGACAATTGCCGACCAAGAGTTTTGGTCGCAAAAAATACATCTATTCCCGACCAAAACAGCTTTTAGTCGTGGAAACTCGCTTTTGCCGACCAAAAGTTTTGGTCGCGAAAAGTAACAAATGGCGACCAAATTTTTTTGGTCGTGAAATGTAATAATTGGCGACCAAATTTTTTGGTCGCGAAATGTGACAATTGGCGACTAAGAAATTTGGTCGGGAAAATGTCGCTTTTCGCGACCAAAGTATTTTGGCGACAAAATAAATTAGTCGCGGTAATTAAATATTTAGCGACCGAAAATTTAGTCGGCAAATCCAACTTTTGCCGACCAACCACAATTTTGGTCGCGAATTACTTTTACCGACCCTCAATTGGCGACCAAAGTAGCGACCAAAAATTGACTTTTAGCGACCAATTTTTTTGTTGCCAAAAGTGCAAATTCTTGTAGTGTTTTGGGGCCTCTAGCATTTTTGTTTTTATCGGAATCTCTTCAATGTTTACATTTGGAAAAATTACCATTAAGTGGTAATCTCATAAAACTTATTACTTATTCATAATTTTTTTTTTATAATTTTAATTATCAATATTTATAAAATTTATCACTTATTTATAATAATTTTTCAAAATATAGACCAAATATAAATTCACTTTTGCATCTCTTATCCATTAGTATATCATTTGTGTCACATTTGACGAAAATTTTATGGATCTTGATAACAATTGTTTCTTAGATATAAGTAAAAAAATAAAAAATTTAAAGAACATAGGCGTTTTTCATTAAATCCAATGTACTTTTACTTAAATTAATATATTTTAAATATTTTTACATATGTTCAAAATACTTTTTACATACGTCCTAACATTAAACAATAACTATAAAGCATTTGCTACCATTTACCAAATTTTATATGTTCATAAGATTAATACTGTTTAACATTTGAAACCGAAAACCCAAAAATAATATTAATAAATTGAATTTTTGAAATTTTCAAACTTGCATTAATTGCGTAAATAATGGGCTATTTCGACAAAATTATCGAGGTAGCAATTCCCAAAGTCATTAAAGTTATTTTTTATTTGGAAAATTCTATTTCTTACTTAAAATTTATACATAAAACTTGATACGAATGATGTAACAATATTTGTAAATAAATTTATTTTTAATTATGTTTTGTTTTGAAATGAAAGGTCTACAATAAACTAGATCATTATATAAAAAAAATATGTATGAATTTTTTTATTTATAGAACATTACTCTTTTTATTTTTTTAACGAGACTCTTGACTGGTGTGCGGAATTAGATTTTTTTGTGACTTTTTTTGTTAGCTTATTTTTATCTTTAAGGATCCTTTGAGAATCCCAAACATTTTCCTTTAAGGAGTCCTAATTAAGTTAAAAAGTAAAAAAGTTATATAAGTTGGAAAAGGCTAAAGGGTGTGTACACCTTATAGCCATAATTTTTTTTTACATAATTTCATACTTTTTGAATTATATTTAAAAGGACAAAAAAAAAAAAGTCACAACCAAACACAAAAAAGTCATAGTCAAATATATCAAAATAATGTCATAACTAAAGAAAAGAAAATGGTGTAACTAAGGATAGATATGATATGAGGGTGTGTATAATAGAATTCCCATACAAGTTTAACATTATTTTTCTACCTATCTTTTCGTAAAAAAATCAAAAAATAAAAAAAACAAAACAAACCCCAAATGACAATTTAGTGAACTTTTTAAAAAAAATTCTAAAAGTTTTAGGTTTTTAAAAAAGAATTCTAAAAGTTTTAGGTGTTTAATTTTACGTGACGAGATGAACCAAATTTTTTTTAATCTAAAAAAATTTAGAAAAGAAAAAATTAAGCAAAAAAAAAAATAATGGACTTTTTTTTTACTTATTTTTACTTTTTCATTTTTTTTTTAATATTTTCAAAAAAAATCAATTTTTAGATTTGTTTACATAAAACGGGCTAGAAAAGTTTTTTTTTTTGGGGATATAATTAGAAAACAAGTCACAAAAAATTTAAAAATAAAATAAAAATAAAAGAAGTGACTTGTTTGAGAGATCCCAAACAGAATTGGTCATTGTCTTTAATATTTTCATCTCTTTTATTTTTGAAAATTAAAAAAATAATAGAGACAGTGAAAACGATATTAACCTTACATTACATTGCATAATATTTTATAATTTTTAGGGTGTGGCTTTTTTACTAATCTTTTAAATATGGGAAAATCGGTCTAGGGTCCCTCTTCCACTTTTCGTAATGGAAGAGATCCACAAAATTATTTTTTGATGTCTAAGGTCCCTAAACATATATCAGATGAAAGTTTCACTGGCTCATCTCTTTCCACTCACTGAAAGACCTCTCGATCGTCTTCAACACTGGACAATTCAATTTACACAAACTCAATTTGACCGATTCAATGATCGGAAACTCCGAAACCAAACTTCAATTAGAAACCCTAGGTTTGTCCGGGATTCAACACTGCGATTACGGCCTCAGTTGGCTCTGGAGGAGTTGTAAACAGCTCAAGAAACTCCAATTGCGAAGCTGCTATGCAATCGGCGATGAATCATCACTCTCATCGTTCGTCGAATGCTTAATTGGTCTCCAAGAAGTGGAATTGTGGACATGTAGGGCGATAATCAACGAGGTTCCTCTTCCTCCTCCTCTTTCATACACTTTCTCATTCTAGGGTTTCAAGTTCTTGAACCCCTTCAATTTCATTTTAATTCATCATCCCCTGTTTTCCCTACTATTCCGTCAAGCTTTTACAGTCTATTTCATACACTTTCCTTACTCTTCTGTCCCTAATGCTTTAGATTTGCACCTTACAATGAACAAGTGTGATGATCAATCTGGGAAGCAAGATGCAAAAGAACAAGAAATGGAAGAGGAATTTCTCTGTGATGTCCAGAGAAAATTCGACCAGAGAAATTCTCTGTGAAATGTGAAGTTCAGAGAAAATTAGACCAGAGAAAATCTCTGTAAACTAGAATTTCTCTGTGAAGTCCAGAGAAAATTCGACCAGAGAAATTCTCTGTGAAATGTGAAGTTCAGAGAAAATTGGACCAGAGAAAATCTCTGTAAACTAGAATTTCTCTGTGAAGTCCAGAGAAAATTCGACCAGAGAAATTCTCTGTGAAATGTGAAGTTCAGAGAAAATTGGACCAGAGAAAATCTCTGTAAACTAGAATTTCTCTGTGAAGTCCAGAGAAAATTCGACCAGAGAAATTCTCTGTGAAATGTGAAGTTCAGAGAAAATTGGACCAGAGAAAATCTCTGTAAACTAGAATTTCTCTGTGAAGTCCAGAGAAAATTCGACCAGAGAAATTCTCTGTGAAATGTGAAGTTCAGAGAAAATTGGACCAGAGAAAATCTCTGTAAACTAGAATTTCTCTGTGAAGTCCAGAGAAAATTCGACCAGAGAAATTCTCTGTGAAATGTGATTATTTTATTTTTTTAAACTAAAATAACTAAAAAAATTCTTGCCAAACGGAGCGATATCGGTTGTTGAGCTGTCATTGCATATCCCTCCCAAGACTTCGAGGTCCAATCGACTTGACTTTGAACATTCATAAACAAGCAGCCCAATTGACAAGGCTAGTTGACGCAATTTTGATTGACCCATTCAAAAATGGGTTGTGTCAAAAAATATGTAAAAAAAATTTTTTTGTTTGAAATTCAAAAATGGGTCCAATCGACTTGATTTTTAATTTTTATTTTTTAAAAAAAATATGTTAAAAAAATAAATAAATAAATAATATGAACTAAAAGAGATTAAAAGTCAAAATTCTCAAACCAGGCCAATGAGTTGAGTTTAATATTTAATTGTCAAAGTTTAATTTAAAATTTTAATAAATTTTAAAATATATTCAAGTTTAATGATTTAATTAAGAAGTAATTTTTTTTAATCTAAATTACGAGGTGAAAAAAATTCCTATATTCAAAAAAAAAACATTTTAGATTTGTAAGAAAAAAATGAGTAAAAAGTAGAGTGAATATTGAAAAATATTTGACTTTATAGAGTGAATGAAAAGAAATTTTTAGATTGTGTTTGATTAAAAGATTTGATGAGGAAAATGAAAAGGAAAATAATTAACATGATTCAAATTTTAAGTTATATTTGGTTGAGTTGGGAATTTGAGAAAGAAAAGAGTCAAAGTGAATCTAAAAGATAAAAGGTGATATTGTATTTTCCTTTCATTTTTTATTCTTCTGTGTTTTTCATTATAACCAAATAAAAAGTGGGATTCCATTTCCGTTTCCTTTTATATTTCTCTCGTCAAATTCTCCAACTAAACACAATCTTAACACACAATCTTAACTTTTCTATATGCTTTGAAATTTTTTTGACCTTTAATTTTTTTAATGTTTTCTTTTTCAATTTTTTTTAGGGATTTTTATTGATAAATCCTATTTAGAAGTGTTTTAACCTAAGAAGTCCATGAATAAATTTTTTAACCCATTTAGTGCCATGTATGTATAGTTTTATTCCATAAAATCCTTTTTCTTGATTTACACTATTTTCTTAGACATTGATGCCCTTATATTTAATTTTGATACCCTAATAAATATTTTTTGAACGGTTAGCAATTTTATGATGTGAACATTCATATTTTAAAATTCACATTGGTAGGAATGTAAAATTGGTCCGTGAGCGGCCCGAAACCCGCCCGCGAGCTCGGTCGGGTCCGGCCCGTTGACAATGTGAATATTCACATTGACATGTTAATATTCACATTAATAGGAGTGTAAAATTGGCCCGCGTCCCGTGGGGGCGCGAAACCCGCCGGCGGCTCTGGGTGGGCCCGGTCCAGCCCGTTGACAATGTGAATATTTACATTGACATGTAAACATTCATATTGATAAGAGTATAAAATTGGCTCGCTG